GTGCCCCAAATAATTGGTCTAATTCCAGCGCGCGCCGGTCCCCGCTACCTCTCCTTAGTTAGGTACGGCGCCGTTCGCATCCGTTCAGTAGGGGGCGCCTGAGAAGCGCTTCCATATTTTTGTTGTGACTTTACCCTCAGAGGTAACTGACACTTCTTCAGCCCAACAAGCTGATCCCCAGACCGTTTATGGTTCACCTACTCCATGTTCATGGCAAATTACTTTAATCTTATATCTAAATCTCAGATAGCAGATTGTGAAATTTCAAAACACGTTTGCAATTTTTTTTACAATTGTTTTAGTTTGTAATTTTACAAACATTGAATTGTGTAAAAAGTTGCCAACAAAATTTGTATAATTGCAATCGATTTTTTTAACAGTGCACAGGTCTTAGAACAATTGCGTAGGAAGGCACCAAAAAGTCTGTTTTTTGCTCATTCCCAAAATCCCATGGTGCTTTCCTTGACCCATGGGTTGTCCCGGTTGTCATGAAACGTCATGGAACATCAGCTGTCCAAGGGAGAACTTTCCATGTATTTTTTGCCGCTTTTCTATGAGTGTTTTTTCCATGCGCATGTATTGAAACTCCATGGTGTTGGTCTCCATGGAACAATTCTAGGCCCATGGACAACTTTACCATGGTAACGCAAAGAGCAGAGTCGGTTGCATAAGTCAAAGTCAGTCTTACAGATGATTATACGAAGCATGTTTCAGGAGGGTCAGAACTGAGGCGGAGCCGAATCCGCTGTCTATTTCAACGTAGTTAAGGCCGTTTACGAGATAGCAGGAAAAAGTGCTCAAATTTGGATGAGATCAAAATGGCCCTACTAAAATTCGACCGAGGTGCTAGACACCAAATTTTAGACCGATATTCAAATAACCACAGATTTTACAGCTGCCTTAACATTCATGGGAATTGGTTTTTCCATGGAGTTAAGACCAACACCGTGGCGGAAGACACACTATGGCAGCATATGCACTATTCCCATGATACGTCCCATGGAAAGCTAGTTCCGACCCCATGGTGACATTAATTTCCATGGAGGGCCAAGCCGCTTCCTCGTGGAAAAGAGGCTCCACATGGAAAGTGACCAGCCACACATGGAAAACGGTCCTTCTGTCATGGAATAGTGTTCATGGAATTTCATGTAGCGCATGGGATTTAAGGACTGGGTGGGGAGTTTAGGGTTGACCTATTCGCTGTCCGATATCTTCTGTCAGTGACAAGTTAGGAACATTGGGGGTGAAATTTTATGTATGGACATACTAAAGGAAGGGATTGCCGCAGCAGCAAAGTGGCTACGTCATTTGTGGACATAAATATGAACACCCAAAGTCGCGAGGTAGAGAGAGCAGTTAGCTGTTTGTCTGCCAGTACCAAGAAGGTAGCTATTTGTCTGCGCAGCCCAAGAAGTTACCTGCTTGCAAGTAGGAGGTGTCAACGTAATGAAGGGTGGTACAAACGCTGCGTTAGATTAAAACCAGAAAATACCGGCTTAAAAATCACAGCCTGTACATTTTTTCTAAATAGAACAAATCGACACCTCCTACGTACAAGCAGCTATCTTCTTGAGCAGTGCAGACAAGCAGCTATCTTCTTGAGCTGTGCAGACAAACAGGTAACTGCTTTTTCCACCTCGCGACTTTGGGTATTCATATTTCTCTCCACAAATGACGTAGCCAATTTACTGTTGCGTCAACTCCTTCCTTTAGTTTGTCAAAACATAAAATTTCACTTCCGATGTTCCTAACTTGTCACTGACAGAACGTATTGGACGGAGAATACGTCAACCCTAATCTCCTCAAAAAACAGATAGCTGTTTGTCTGCCACCCTCAAGCAGATAGCTGCTTGTCTGCGCAGCCCAGGAAGATAGCTGCTTGTCTGCACAGCTCAAGAAGATAGCTGCTTGTGCGTAGGAGGTGTCGAAATGACTGGTTCAGTCGTCCCTACCTCGACGCTGCGGCCGATGGCCTCGAAAAGGTCAGCACAGGTGGCGTAGATGAAGATCATACACCCGATAAGACACAGGAACGAGTTGGTCCACACGGCGACCATGCAAGACTGCACAGGTAGCCAGGCTAGACGCAAGCTCCATTCAAGGCAGGAGAGGTCAACGTCCTTTGGTCATGGTAGTAAAAACATTTCAATCAGAATCCATATTAACAGCAGATGATATCCGTCACTGATCAGGTCTTGTAGTTTGCCGATCGTTCTTTTCCCTTCTAAAGAGTTCAAGATGATAAAACTTTAAAGTAACTTACAATGTTAGAAATAACTGTCACCTAACGACTTACTGCCTGCCTGACACTCCTGTAATGTAACAGAAATGTTGTTTTCATTTGAACACTCTCGAAATTAACTTGTGATATTCGGCCCATAGTGGCCCACAACAAAAACTACTGCGTATTACTTTGCTGTACATTACAAGGAAAGAGAAGTTAATTTTGTTAGCAGCACATTTCGTCCCAAAACAGGACACTCGTATTATTACAATTTTTTTTTACAGGAGCAGAACAAAGTAACTGCTTTTGGTCGGAAACTTTGTTCCCGACATTTTCATTAACGCTGCTTTTTTACAGTAAGGCCTATAAAAACACAGTATATGCTGCTAACAAAATTAATCACATTTCCGCTGTAAATTAACAGCAATTTTTTTTAACAGTGATACCTGTGTTTAGTGTATATTTACGTTAAGTTTTGTTTTTTAAGGTGTCGTCTGCCAAAATTCGAGGATGCCTTGGGACCCCTTTTCAGGAGTACTGAAGGATCCATTCTTTGGATCCCTTGGGATCCCTTCTCGAGATCCCTTGGCATACCTTCTTGGGATCCCTTCTTGAGATCCCTTGGCATCTCTTCTTGAGATCCCTTCTTGGGTTCCCTTCTTGGAATCCCTTTTTTGAGTCCCTTTGATCCCCTCTTGAGATCGCTTGGGATCCCTTGGGATCCCTTGGGATCCCTTTTCGGGATTCCTCCGGATTCGTTTTCTAAGTGCTTCTGGAATCGTTGGTCACTCACCGAGTCTCCGAACAGGCGCATCACGGCACTGGCTGTCTCTTCGATCCACAACGGCTTAATGTAGAGGAACAGCATCGTGAGGAACGCCACAGAGGCCAACCCGTAAATGTAGAAAAAGCACATGAGGCGTGCGTTGAGCACAGCCGAGCCGCGCATACGAATCTGCTCGCGCGTGCAATTAAGATTTACCGAAGTCTCTGTACTCTGATAAATGAAGTGTGCAACTGACATGCACATTCAAGTCGACCCTCCCTACGCACAAGTGGCTATCTTTCTCAGCGTGGCAGAAAAACGGCTATCTGCTTTTCTTTGGGGTTAAGGTTGCCCACGTTTATATGGAATAACTCGCAAAGCAAGAGACATAAAATTACCGGGTAAGAAATTTCCTGCTCTGACAACCGCAAAGAATAGTTGGTTGAACGCGCATAGTGTTACATAGCCTCTCCTGTGATTAGAACCCAAAGTCGCGGGGTGGGAAAAGCAGTTAGCCGTTTGTCTGCCAAGCTCAGAAGGATAGATAGATGTCCACCACGTCCAAAAGGTAGCCGCTTGTGCGAAGGAAGGGTCGAAGTGCTTAAGGGGAGATAGGTGAAATGAATAGCTCTTAGATGCCGTTGACTCAGTTCCTTAAAATTATGGCTATATTACCAACTGTAAAAGAAACACCCACCACAAAAATTTCAGCCCAATCGCCCAAACCGTTTTCTAGTAAACGCATTTTAGACCCTACTATGAAACGTAGTGTGCGCATTCGGTTTGTCCGCACACCTTTCTCCCATAAAGAACTTGTTTTCTGCGGTCTAGTAGAACAACATTACAGAGATACATCTTTCATATTCGGCTTCTAAACATTTTTTTAATGAATTAGTAATTAAAGTTCTCTCAAAAGTTTAAAAAAAACTACCATTTTAATACATATTTCTAATATGTGGCTTCTGTACTTATTGACAATTCAGAGAAAACTCTCCGTTTCTATGTTCCTTATATGTCAACAAATGGCACAGGGAAAGTGTTGGTGAATTCCATTCAAGAGATTTGCGAACGCACTGTGCTTTTAAATGTGTCAAAACATACTGTGGAAGTAAGGACATACTCCTAATGTTAATAATCAGAAACAAGAGAAACGCACAACACAAAAGCCCCTGGGATGGAGGAAGGCAAAACGTATGTTCCAGACGGGAAAACATAAGAAACCCATTTTTCGCATTTGTGACGGTATTTTTTACGCACACCTCCCCTAACGTCCAAAGACTGTAATTAAAGTGACTGGATTTAGGTGAAAAATTAAGTTTGCTTTAGACAACGTCTTGTGTAACAGGCTTTGGTATCTCGTCACAGAGGGGGGTCGAAACAGCGACAGCAATCGTCGGCAATAATAAGCCGAGGGCTGTGGTCGGCGGTCGTCCCTTTGTGATCTTGCACTCAGCGGAAAAGGGTATACTTTTTACACGAGCGCGTAACGGATAACGACGTTCCTTCAACTTAGTTTGTACGATGATGCCTTACCTGGGATTCCCTTTGCGTGCTTGGCTCGAGGTTGGCGGCTAGACGAGCCAGCTTGTGGAAGATACCACAGAGGTCCGCATTGAGGCGCATGAACACCAGTTGGGAACAGATGCAAGAGTACGTGGAGATGGTCACGCGGGTAGCGAGCATAGACGTAGTGCCAAACAGCGACTTGGACAACACGCCGTCCACCAAGAACAGTCCTGTGCTCACCACACTCACAACCACCGAGCTCTGCGGACATTCACGAATTAAAATAGACTATAGACGTTGTTCCCTGCATATCTTAAGGTTGCGCGGGCGACAAATCGTCACTAAGCGTTAATTTGACCAATATTTGAGCTTAAGGTATTGAATTTTGTCAAGTTCATTCCATGATTGCCGCCAAATTATGCACTGTAAATGGGTTGGTGCCTTATGACGCCAACCCATTCACAGTGTGAGCGAAACATAGATGCGGGTTTTCCTGGCTGATAGTTGTTCCAGAAAACTCCTTCCTATCGTTGAGATATTTTGGACAACGTTCACTATTAGATACCCCCTATGTAAAACCGCTAACAGCCTAACAACCTCGTTGGCTGCGGACAAACGCTCAGCTCACTCCACTCCCCTACCTAGCTTGGCGCTCCGGATAACCGCTTAAGTCGCTTTTTCACCGACAACGTAATATTTGTAACATTCGAAAGAGAATTTCGCTCCCCTTAAGGTTACTTATATATGCTTTATGTTTAGTCAAAGATTTTTAAGGTATCATCTGCTACGCATGAAAACGTCAGCAAGAAAAGCAAAGTTCAAAAAATGCTCTCGAATCAACCGTGCGTTGACTGGGAATTGAGCTTAGGGGTAATCTTGGAGCAAAAACGGCCGAAAATGGCCATCAAACCGCTCATCCCCGCGTTTTGGCAGAGGCGGGCGAGGTTGGCGCAAGGACCGTTAAGTAGATGGACCACGCATCCTGAACCCCTCTGTGTTGCCTTTAGAACCGGCCATGTCAACCCGCCGGTGACATGCCGGAACCCGCTTCGGCTGTGATCAGCCGTGCTCGGAGGCGGTGCTTCGGGTCCCAGGTCGAGCCGAGCAGGCTACAGCGGGGCTGCGCTAGGTCCGCATAGTAGACCCAAGGGCTGCGGCCGGAACAAGCAAGAGGTGCGCAGAGCTCCGTGCTGGTATCGCCTGGGCCAGGGACACCCCGAGCGAGACTACTCCCTCCGCTGTAGCGCGCGTCGGCTCGCCCGCGCTCTAGCCTCAGACAGGGTGGTTTCTGGCCGGGCCGGCTCCCAGGCGATACCAAAGCGCTGTGATTGGCTACCGCTCGGCTGCTCTGCGCTGCGCACCTCTCACACGAGGGCCGCTAGATCCAGCAAGGTGAGGTCTCGCTCGCTCTGCTCGAACTGGGACCTGAACTCGCCCCAGCACGGCCGATCACAGCCGAGGCGGGTCCCGGCAGGGCCCGGCCTGTCACCGGCTGAATGACATGGCCGGTAAAGGTACGCACAAACTATCGAATGCGTAGTCCATCTACTTGATGGTCTTTGGATTGGCGAGGCGGCCGGCTGAAACAGATTTATGTCAGGCGCATCGAGTGAGAACGGTGCAGTGCATGAGTGACATTGTCTCCCCCTGCCACAAGCGGGCGGGCGGGTAGCCGAGGAGTCCGGGGAAGGAGGTGGAGCACGCTGGACGGACTGTGTCTTGTCTGTGGCACAGTGGCGACGCGATGAAGCACTCCGGACAGTGCTGGACAGTTTAGGCGATACTTCTGTAGTCGGAATCCTAGTGCACCCCCGATTTGTGTCCCGCGCAATCTCAACAAGGTGGGTGTCCGTAAGTCTGCGTTAACAGGCTTACGCCCAAGGGCACGTGAGTACCGTTGGGTCTCCTTTAACTTCAGAAGATGAGGTTGATGGCTCACTCACCACGGTTCCACGCCCCCACGCTAGGGCACATTGGTGGAAACCCACGTGAGGCCCACTGAGTAGCTGCAGCCACCACTCCAGCTGATGTGTAAGGGGCCAGGTCTCAGGGTTCTCGGCCCGAGAGTCGGTCTCCATAGTGGGGTACGCCCTGCCTCAACACGAACCGGTATACGGGTCGAAAAGGGCGGACTGTTATTCTTAGGTTTAGAGGAAATTTTTCCTCAAATATCAAATATCTCTAAGTGCTATATCATTCATAAGGGGTCAATTCGATTTGTCTCCTTATTCAAGTAAAACCAAGAGGTAAAAAGGGATAAGTCTAAGAGAGGGTGGGGCAGTGTGTAACAGACCTCCGTATTTCGAACATAGCACGTCCGGAACCAAGTGTGAATGTTCGTTCATATTATGTGTTCTGAATGACTAAGGTCGTTTGCAATCGAGAACGCCTTGGTTGGGGAGTTGTAACGGCGGTGAGAGGACGGCCCAAGCTGGGCTCACCCGATGTTTAGGCAATTTTCATCATGTTACGACATGATCTTTTTGGTTGAGGTCGTTGGGTTACAAACAACCCCCGAACTAATGATTTTCTATCGATGTAGACACCTTAGCACATGTAAAATGGTCGTTGTCACTAACACGACCTCTCGGGTTCTCGGTCTACGAGGCCACGTAACAGGCTGTGTACCCTTGGGCAGTGTGTAACTTGAACGTCTGGGGTAGTCTCGAGGGAAGTTTAGGGCAGTGTGAAACGAGACGAATCGGCTTATTTGCTTATCAATGATATGCCTTTGCCCCAACAGTATCACTGAGGCACAACTTTTTGTTTATAGTTCAAGTTCACAAAATATATCCAAAATAAGTACCAATTTTATGTTTTCAAAACTCGTAAATTTTAAGAAAATTCAATTTGAAAAAAAAAAAAAATAGTTGATAAAGACTGTTGTTGTATCAGCAGCTAATATAGAAAGGAAAGGGAAGCTGTTTGCTCCCTTTCTAGCTGTCTCCAGAGCTCAATCGTTACACACTGCCCCACTGTCGTTTCACACTGACCCGGCGCGGGGCACTGTGTTACAAATGTAGACCTTTGTTCAACAAGCTGTAGGTCATACGGGAATGCGCCTAGTAATGCATCCGAGCAACTTTCATGTTTAGTAAGGGTTCAATCTATTCTTTTGCGCCCGATTTACCCAACTTTTTTCATGGTTTGACTTTTACAGCTAAATTCCAAAATCTGTTACACACTGCCCCACCCTTCCTTACTATGGCACGTAGGCAAACAGGTTTTTTTTTCGGAAAATGTGCCAGTTTCACTGTGAATTAACGGCCACTAAAAATCTCAGTTTGGGGTTATGTCAGTTCCCTCCTTCCGCTTCCTGGATCATTTACGGGCAGCACTAGCTTCGACGCTGGAGCGTTCCCTCTAGCGGTGAGTTGGTTGAACCAGGCGCCACGTGCCTCACCACTGGCCCAACTAATCAGAGAGACGCCAGAGGGAATCAAATCATAGAAAATTAATGTGTCTGGCTGATCAGGATACGCACAGATAATAGAAGGGCAATTTCTTGACAATGGCAGGCGACGATTAAAGGGGGGGGGGGGGGGGGGGTGCAATCGGTCGTCTCTACATGAAAGGTAGGCACAAAACCCCTGTATGTGGGCAACCAACAGTGCATCGCCGCCCTGCCGCAGCCGGGACTTAATTCGCCCCTGGAAAGACGCACCCCCATAAGTGATCCAACACGGATGCGTCTTCCGTAGCAAAAATTATTCGCTTGGACAACGAATAAAACTCGTTGAGTCTGAGCCAGCGAATTTTTCGCTGCAACAGCGAATGCTTTTTTTCCGTGCGGGCGCTCCACAGTTGTGGCTTTTTAACGGGGAGCTCCGCAGAAGTGGCTTTGTTTGCCGGACGCGATGACTTGCTCGTCCGTTCGTAATACAGAAACAGCCGATCCGAGTCTCCCTCCCAACTCCTATTAGGCAAACTATCCTGCCCCTTTTGCCAGACCAGCAGTAGTGAACAATGCCTTGCCGGAATGCACCTGTTAACTGGACATCTTCTCATTTCTAAGACGGTAAAAGAAAGATTTTGGTGTGGGTTCACTGTGCCAAGGATTTCTTGTGGGAAAATATCGAACAAAGCAGTTTCTGCTTTGTCAGAATAAAGACTTACTAAAAAGGAAACTGCACATTGTTTTGCAAGAAATGTCAGTATCCCAAGACTGTAAGGGAATATTAATTTCATAGATCCATGTCAAGTTTGTTGTTTGTTTTTACATTCCTGTCTATGTGGATGTGCTATGTCGCACAGACTCAGAAAAAATGTATCTTGTTTCAAGTACATTTGTGATACGAGTGACCCAAGATATTTTTAGGCCCCTCCAAGGGGATCTTCCTGCTCGCGTGCGAGAGCTTTTCTTTCTTATTTCTCCCCAGGCGATTAGGTTACAGCCACTTCTGTGATACAGATTTTGATAAAATTTTAACGAAAAATCAATCCAAAAATTAGATTTTAGTTAACTATAGCCTCACTAAAATCTGTCTGGCCAATTTTGAGAAAATTAAAGTTGAACATCGAAATTATCACGAAAATCGGCAAAATGCTGCCACGCCAACATGGTTCGCAGTTTTATCATTCTTTCTGTCGAACCCTGCGGCTGACCTTTTCTCTTGACAGAAAAACGGGGGAAAATGTATGAGACAGAAATTCAGGACCGAAAATTAAGCTTCCGAACGAAGTGTTCAAAATTTTCGTGCGACGTTCCAGACGAGAACGACAGCAAGCTAAATGATATGCGACATTTACGCTTATTCTTCGCGTCTTGTTTTAATTAATTTCTAGTGCAGTTAGTGTTGATTTAAACAGGGTAATGTAAGTGAGCCGATTGTGCACCGTTCCTGAAGCTAGCGAATAAGCTTTTAATCGATCCCATGAGATATTCCAATCACAGCTTCTACCGATTTAAAATCAAAGCTGCACAGTTTGTTTAGAAATGGGCGTGGCTACGACAATCCTGGGTAGAAAGGAGGCGTGGCTTCTAACAATGGTACCAACCTTTGCTAACGAACTCGCTTCATGTTTTTGGATAAATTGAGTGATGTACTCTCCTCACTTATTCATGTGCAACCCACCTCTAATTAACCTTTTTTTAGCGTTTTCATGTGCACTTCAGAGGTAGTTAAATGACATGTGTTTGGATAATTGTAACTATGAGTAAAAGTTGGCATTGCCGGGGAATACCCACGGAGCAGTTTCCATAAGGCGCTTGGTGTTGTGATTGTGGCGAAGAGCCACAATACTAACCATTTAGTTT